GAGGTAAACAATTTACGCAATCAAAAAGCTGCTCAAAATTACAACAGTGATGTTGAAGATGATCATAAATCGCGAAGTGAAGAACTACGAAGACAAAGGAGCAAAGAAACGCAACAATTGATTGCTCAAAGAACAATAAACGCTCGAGCGATATTTGAACAGAATTCGGCAGCCGGCCAGATGAAGACAACTTCGGCACAACAATTTTTACCTAAGAACAATCATGTGGAATCTATGAGAAAAGCGTTGGAAGAGGCTCAGATAAAAGAGCAGCCTGATGTAAAGTCTCACGAGGAGACATCGGCTGAAGTGAAAAAACCTACAAGTACGGAAACAGTGACGATTTCTTCGTCCACAGTGCCTCAATCTCAAAATACCAATCAAGAATTGAAAACTACCACCAATCCGCAATTGGAACAAACGGCAGAGACTAAGGAGCAAGTCACCGAAAATGAATTATACAATCAATTAGATGGCTCGTACTTATATTTTGATCCGAATAACGAGGGAATGAAAGCTAGAGCTTTGTATGACTATCAAGCCGCTGACGACACAGAAATCACATTTGATCCTGGAGATATAATCACACATATAGATGCAATTGACGAAGGCTGGTGGCAAGGACTTGGACCTGATGGAACATACGGACTTTTCCCCGCTAATTACGTTGAAGTTATCGAATACAATACAACATGATAAGATATGCTTTTGAAAAAATTTATCACGATCGTTCTCATTTTCTTCATAATTACATGAAACCACTTGTATGTAAGATCAGTATCAGCTTATCCCTGATAAATGTTATCAAGTTTCTAGAAATAAGTAAAATTGAACTACGTGATGAAATAATTCTGAATAATTAGAAGAAAATTTTATAATTGAAAACGCGAGTAGCATATAACAATTGAAATGCACGTCTTCGTACCATTTTCGCGCCTTCCATGTCATTGTTTTTTAATTTTAAAGTATTTACGCAAGGAGTGAGTTTATAGTTAGTGTAAAAATTCGGTTATAAAATCTTTGTAAAGAGAATAATTGAAATGTTAATCATAACCAGTAAAATGTATGTCTTCCCAGCAAGTCATACAGGTTTTATCCAATTAATCTTACATATAAACATATATCTTTTTATAACATCAGAAGCCCTGTATCAGAAGCTGATATAGCAATAACTAAAATGCATCTTATACGTATGAACGCAACTGTGTTACTGCAAACCTGTAACAGCTACGTATTTAAACATTTATAATTTTTAGAATAAATACTTTGATTTGTTATAGTTTAACATAAATCTTGTTAGTATTAAAAAACCCGCTTAAATGCAAGTTGCTTTTTCATTTTTTATATTAGATTTTTAAATGTTGATGTTATGTCTAAAAAGAAAAGCATGAAAATGCTTTTAGTTATCGTTGAAACATCGTAAAAGCGGCAATTAACACATATTAGGTTGACACATATGATAAATTATTTTATTGTATAATAGAAATTTTTAAAGATAATAATGAGATAAAGTAGCATCACAATATCCATGTTACATAAATAAAACAAAGAAAATCATCTCCGATAATTTTGATTTTGTCCGCCACCTCCACTTGCATGAATACTTGCATGACTCAAAAATGCTAAATGACCTTTTGGACATTTATTGGCATAATGACCTTTCTGTCCACATTTGTAACATGTCACTTCTTCGAGTGGTTTTTGCGGCCCTCGTGACGGCGGTGGTCCATTATGTATATTCATATGATGATGCGATGTACGAGAATCATTGTCGAGCTCCTGTCTAACTTGAGCTTCCCGTACATCAGGTGGCATTTTGTTACAATAGATCGCTTTATGACCTCCTTCTCCACAAAAGTGACAAGTAATCATAACTTTTTTGCCCTCCTTTGGTTGCATATCTTGTATTGCCGGTAATTCGAATCTTGGACTATATAAAAACAGATTACATTGCAAATACAGATTTGTGAGATTCAAAATAGATTTTTATAAAAGACTTACGTCTTTTGTATATACTTACTGCATAAATTTACAATTTGGCCCTTCTGGACAAAAACCTGCTAAATAAGCCATACACAGAACACGTCTGACATGCCGATGCCGACATAAGGGACCATGCCTACAAAAACCACGATCGTACCATGGACAATCTCTGACTTTTGTCTCCGGATCGATGTGTAAGAATGGGCATTCTTTATTATGACATGCATCTATAATAATTTATTTTGTTTAAATATACTTTGATATATTTACAGTATGATGGTTGTACAATTTAAATATATGGAATATTTGCATATTTGAATCATTCAGATCATTTATATTGAAATATTCAAGTAAAGTATTTATAGTGAAAAGGAAATAATTATAATATAAATATATCAAGTTACTTACTGAATCTAGAATAAAAATAGCATTCTGGCATTTTTGTCATATCATATTCATGCAGAAATTCACACTGATCACCCTTTTTGCAAAGACCTCTTAACCAATGTTTACATACTATCGTGCGATCACCTCGAACATGCCTGAAAGGACACGAAGCTCCTTTGTTACAACTGCCTTTTGGATAAAACTGACATACTGCGGCAATTGATTCTGTAAATTGAAGAGGGAGAGATTATTTACTATATAAAAATTTTATATCATTAATATATAAAATAGATCTATCCTCTCTTTTAATGAAATCATACTGTACTCTCTAAGTAAACATAAGATAGAGATTATTGCTTATTACTCGAAAATTTCGATAAATGTTATTACTTAAAAAAAAACCGTTTAAAAAAATTTATAGTATTAATATAATAAAAAATAGTTTGTATATGTAATAAATTTAAATAAAATGGTTCAGATAAATATGACATTACGTTATGCACACAAACAACTTAACCTAACACACAAGCAACTGCATAAAAATTATATTATAAAAGAACATACTATCCATGCCGGTGAAAGGTAAAGGAAGAGCTCCATACTGTTCGTCGAGAGCAATCTCAATATCAAATCGCATATGTTCCACATTCGCTACTATACACTCCATTGTTATTGTAAGAATTTGAACAATCAAACACAAAACACTTGTGCCCCATTTAACCTGAAGCTGTCGAGATTGCTGCGTACAGCCAACATTATTCGTTCCAACGAAATGTCACTACAACCACGTGAAGTTGGTCCCGAGTTTGTTTCAGAAACGAAATTACATTCGATTTCTTCTTCTTCGCAGCATTTCACATTTTGTCTCGATAATACAAAAGAATAGAATACAAAAATTATAATTATATCGTTAAAACGTTATCATGAGCAGCTTATTATTGACATGACACTTTATAAGTTTATTTTTAAGTATTAAATAACGTTATAATGACATCTCTATGTCTTATTTGACTCTGTATTCCACCTAGAAATTGGCTTCCGATATTCATAAATATTAGATTTTTCCGTGTGTTTGAAATCCTCAAAAATTTTTGACAAAGTAAAGATTTTGAGTGCAATAAGTGCGAACAATTATACAAGTAGATTTATTAATTCGATTCAAGTACATAAAAGATAATGGGCATTTTCCAGCAAGGATACACAGTATAACTTACACAGTGAATCATTTCACTGCAGTCGAAATTGCTATTATATTGCATGTAACAAAATAAATACGAAATTGTATTAACAATAAGAGCACATGAGAACAGAGAAAAATTTTTAATTTATGTGGTAAATAAGCTTTTCAAATTCGCAATTTCTAATTATAATCGATTGTAAACTCAATGGTGGAAATATTAATCACACGTATAGTTAAAAATGTTGCGTTATCTTCAATATGTCATGTAGACATATCGCGAAAATAATGCGATTCACTTTTAGCTCGTTTCTAGCAATGTAAAAAGTAAGTTACATTAAGATTAACTTTAATTCTAATTTCATTTATTTTTTACCTTTTTCTAGTTCTAAGAATTAAAAAAGGATATAAAAATTAATTAAATCGAGATTAAAATTAATTTGTATTCATTTGCAGATTCAGAATTTGTTATTGAAGTGGCTATATTGGTACTTTACAAATGAAATTTTTTTAAAGGTCAAATATGAAAAGATAGAATATTAAATTATTATTGAAATTATTACATTAAAAAAATATTATTCAAATAATATTCATAAAAGATCAGGAAATTTTTTAAAAAAGACTCCTTAACATGGCATATAAAGGGATTAATAATACACTACAACATTCTGTAATAACAGAACATCAGTCATTAGCATGATTTTTACATTTTTCACTGATAGATTCTTTCGATAAAGTGAAATGAGGGCAATTGAAAGGAAACGCAATTAACTATAGCTTATATATCTATTAACATATATTATTATATAAAAGTAATTATTTTATACATAGTTTCTTGATTAACAATACATACGAACGTTTCGACTTATATTTAAGCCATCATCAGCGCATACAACAGTAAATTGAAGTCATTTTTAGTGATTCTGAGTTAATTGTATAATTAAGGAAGAACTTTTTAACAATGTTCAAATTGTACATGCAATTAACTCAGAACAACCAAAAATCCATGACTTCAATTTACTGTTGTATATGCTGAGGATGGCTTAAATTTACATATAAATCGAAATATTTGTATGTATTGTTAACCAAGAAACTATATATAAAATAATTACTTTATTATTATTTATGTAATAATATATGTTAATAGATATACGCTACAGTTAAAACTGCGTTTGCTCTCAATTGCCCTCATTTCACTTTATAATTTATTTTTAGAATATCAAAATTGTGATTAAGTATCTTCGAAATATTATAGATTTTAAAATGGAAAAAGAAGACTCCAAAAGAGAGAACCATGGCCCCCTTCGTGGATCCGCCAGTGACTATATACGTATATATTATGGTAGAAATGGATATCAGCTGGAGCAGTAGCGCTTGACGTTTGCCGTTCGCGCCACAGACCGCGAGATGCTGCCATCTGACGATCGGTCGGTAAGTCGCGTTTCCGTCACTAGTGTCACTACGTGACAGTGGATTTTGAGTGGGAGAAGTGGGGGAGCGGCGCGAGGAAGAAAATGGCCGACGAGGCTACGGTAAAAGGGCAGGGACGTCGTGCGAGGTGCGCGCTGCGCGACGCAAGATCGTCAGTTTCGCGATAGACCGCGCGAAAAAGGGCCGTGATACTACCGCCGGGGAAGGCCTACCGCCATTGTTCGCGGTCGCGCGTCTCGTCGAGAAATCTCGCGATCGTATATCAGGACTCGCGGTGCCCGTTCCTCGCTGGTGCCGTCGTCGCTCAGCGCGCCCACCAATCGCTCACGGGCGCCGCGATTCGCCGTTTAAAAAAAAAGCGTTCGCGGGCCGAGTTTAGCCGACGGAAGGGCTCGCCAGAGAGGTAAACACGACACCCCCGTTTACACTGGCGCCTCCGCCTGATCTCCGCCGTTCTTCCCGTCCCGTCCCGTTTTCAGTTCTCCCGCGTTCTCTCCTCGTTGCTAAAGCGTGTGCGTGTGTTGTTCGCGATCGCGTCGCCGCGCCGACCGCGCGCGATCGCCGTCTGTGAAGATTCTCTCCGCGTGCGACGATTGAGATCGATCAGCAGGTTGGTAAGTTTCTTCTTTCTCCTTCTCTCTACCTGTCTCTATCTCCCTCGCACACTTGTCAGGGCCACTTGTGGCCGTGTCCGTTCACGGGCCCTTTTTAAAGGGCGTGCTGCTAGCCGTCGCCGTGTAGCCGCCGTACGCGTTTTCCTCTCGTCTCATCCTCCGTATAGATATCATCATTGTCGTCGTCATCATCGTCGTAGTCGTCGGCGTAGTACTTCTCGAGTATCTTTGTCCATCGTGCCGTGTCGCGTATACACGTATACGGGAGCCACACTCGGAGCGCACACTCCGCAAGAAGCCCGGAGTGGAGAAGGACGCTGTGTGCCGCGAGTTGATTATTTATCGCGCGGAGTCTCTCTACCTGTCGCGGTACCGAATCGGCCGACGGGCGCAGTGTGATTTAAAGGGATCGATTTGTCAACAAGTCGATGAGGGAGAGAGAGTGCGCGCACGGTGGCCCGACGCAACATAGCGGATTCTCGCTTCGCTTGTGAAGTATCATTACAATTTCCGTCATTCGTGTGCATCTCTCGCGTATGCTCCGATATTCGCGTGCGTTTGCCACTTTATTGTACGTAAATTCGTTTTATTGCACGTTGATAAAAGCGCTTGTAATACCTTATCGTGTCCCTTTCCGATCGTGTGTTTTGTTTCTGTGAAAAATATTTTTTTTTTTATCGCGATGTAAAGTCGTGTGTATCGCAATGGTAAAAAAAAAAAAAAAAACAAGCGATAAAGATAAATTATATTAACGATCGAACATCGACTGTTTTATTGTTAAAACTGTAATATTAGTGGCGTTTACCTTTTGACCGTTTTATTGTGCATTGTTTACAGATAAAGTCAGCTTGCGAACTGTATCGCGATTAATAAAATCTACAATGGCAGTTAGGTAGTTGTAATTAATATTGGACATTCGCGAACTTCGAGCATATTTATATTTATTTTGAAGATGTAAAAAATACAATCATAATGAAGCCACAGAAGAAGGGTGTTGTTGCCAAAAAGGCAACTAAAATGCCAACAGTCGCCAAGAAACGTCGCACATTTACAGAAAAGACCATGCTGGATGTAAAAAAGGAGAAGAAATCAAAGAAAAATGATAAGCTGGAAGATCCAAAGAGAAAAACGGATAATGATAAGAAGAAATTAGAAAAGGCCGAGGAGAGGAAAAAATTGGATGACAAAAAGAAACTTATAGAGGAGAAAAAGAAGGAACGATTTGATAAATTAGATGAAAAGAAAAAACAAGTGAATAAGGATAATGAAAAGAAATCTGATAAAATTGACGAGAGGAAGGCAGAAAAAAGAGATGATAAAGTTAACGAAGAGATGAGCCAAGAAAATACGGATAAGAAAAAATTACAAAGATGTGAAGAGAAAGCAAAATTGGAAAAACAATCTGCGGATAATAAAAAGAAAATTGAGAAAACTGAGGACAAGAAGAAGAATGTTAAATTGGACGATAATATAAATACCGAGGATAATGTCAAATCTTTAAATACATTGGAAGATAAGGAAGCACTTGAAAATAAAATTGATACTCTCCCTGCCCCGGCTAAGAAAAGGAGTAAAGATGAGAAGAAGAAAGATGTCAAGTTAATTAAATCTGATATTAAATCAATATCGAAGAATTCCATCGTGAAGGATAAAAAGTCTGAACGTAAAAAAATTTCTGAGAAGGATTTGGCAAGCAATAAGATTTCTAAGACGAAGAAAGATTCCAAAACAAAACAAAATCAGAAAAAAGGTATTACGAGAAAAACAGTTTTGACAAAGAAGCCTCATTTATCGGTAGTTAAGAGACTGGTGGACAAGAAGATCAAGTTAGTCAAGCCAGTGAAAGATGAAAAAATGAGCGAAGATGAAGATGCAGTCAAGAAAGTGAAGAAGAAGAGTAGTAACTTGGCTAAGAGTAAGACTTTGCAAGAGAAAAAACCAAAGCTGGCGAAACACATGAAAGCCAAATTGCCTCAGAAGCATTCGAAGATCAGTGCTGTTCTAAAAAGGGAAGACAAGTTGAAAACTATAACGGAGAAGATTATGACCAAGAAGAAAATTGAATTGAAAGAGTTTGACCAAGTTTCAACCGAACATAAAAAGATCGCGAACAAAAACGAGACTTGTCAAGGACCAGAAGTGAGCAGCATTAAAAGCGAAATTGAAGAAGACAAGGATTCCGATAAGTGCAAAGAGGAGAATCTTCAACCAAAATTACAGGATAATAAGAAAGCTATCAAAAGTGGTAACAAAATTAGCAGCAAAGCCCCAAAGAAGACTGGGAAAACAATAAGGGTACAAACGGAGAGCAATAATCAAACGTCAGTTTTATCTGAAGATACATCTACCGAAGAATCCAATAAACAATCCAAAATTTCGGAAGATAACGCGAAGTCTATCACGAATTCCAAGCAGGAACAAATCGGCGCTCAGAATACGGTTGAATTAAATTTAAAGGTTGAGGCAATGAATGGTGAGAATGTCAGTGGCGTTACATCTCAATCTGATTCTGAGGATGATTCTGACGAAGAGTATTCTGACAAGAAGAATAAGCAAAAGGATAGCAAGAATAAAGAGAGGGCTAACTCACCATCGGATGAACGTGCGCGACGAATGCGACTTTTTGGCTTTTGGAGTGGACCAAAACGACACAGGGTCGCATCATTGAATGCCTTGGCTAAAGTTCACTGCCTCTATGAAAATGAGACCGGCGGAGTTTATCTTGGTGGTTTTTGCAAACCGAAACCCGAAAAGGAGAAGGAGAAAGAGAAAGAGAAACCGAAGAAAATGAAAGAGGAAAAAGAAGAGCAGCCACGTAAAGAAAAAGAGAAGAAAGTTGAATGCAAAACGGAGGAGAACGTCTTGAAAAGAAAACTAAGAAATGTGCCCGGACTGCGTGGCAAACATTGGGATATGCCGGGGAGTTCGTCATCTTCATCCTCATCCGATGAAGACTGCGAGAAGGAAAAGAATGCTGAACCAAGCAAGAAGAAAATGATCAAAAGGAGGAAGAGAAACGAGGAAGTAATGGACTTGAAGGATATGGTTGTTTGCAAGAGGATGGCCAGTCTTAATGCCACTGCCATTTTGGCTGCTTCCTACTCCGATGAGAAAAATCGTTGTGGTAGCAGCACCAGTGATTCCTCCTCCAGTGAATCGGAAGTAGAGATAATTAAAAGACGTAGACAGCATGACTCAGACGATAAGAAGAAGTCAAGACAAGGCTCCGATCCGGACGAGGTTATTAAGCCATCTAAGAAAGTTGTCATCGTTAACCAGGACACTGATGTCACTATCACTGGTAATTAATCATGCGTGGATTAAGCGTGAAAACTCTAACGATCTTCTTACTATGAATAAATTCTTTTCAAGGTGTCTACGTCAATCAAACTCGATCTACTCATCACGAAGGGTATTGCAGTATTGCTGGTATGCAGTACAGAATCAGTTCTACCAGTCATACTCAAACTGCAGCTACCGCGGTGGCTACTGAACTTCACGATCAGGTTTGTATTTAATTCAAGTCATCTTCTTGCATATTATATGAAAATTTATTTTATTATATGATATACATATTCAAAATAGAAGTTACAACTCATTACTATTCAACATTTATTTATAGTAAACTTTTCTAAATAAATAGAAATAATATGAATGATAAATGGATTATAAGTATCTTTTGTTAAAAATTTTTTTTATTTATCTCTATTCTCGTTCTTATTGAAATACTTATTTTTTTCTTAATTATTTCTTTATTTATTTAGTCGAATACAAATATATATTTTTCAATATAAATTCCTTTTTCTTATCAGCAAAAAATGGAACAACCTTGCAAGTCCTACACCCCACTCGGTGCATTATCTTCTATGCAGCCACCAGGTAGCCAGGGTAATCATCCTAACATGTCACCTCGCAGGCATTCAGCATTCTCGACCCCTCAACACGGTAAGTCAAATGCAACTGCATGTTTCTACGCTTTATTTGCCAGCTCTATCAAACACAACCGTAATTATCGAAGGCTACATCGTACTCTACGTTCCTCTCTGTTTATTATTCGATGTGATTTAAATTAAATTTCCACGGACCGCATTTCATGTGAATTTACATCGCTCGTTATATTAATTTACTCGCCTCTCTCATGATATTCATAATACAAACTAAACGAAGAGTTACGCGTGCATTGAATAACCGGCCGGAGCACTGTACAGCGTAAATTGAAATCTCGCGTAAATTAGAATAAATTATCTGCCGTGGTATTTTTTAACTTATCGAGACGCTGCAAAAATTATTCTCATCTTTTTTTCTGATGTACGCCACTGCGTCGTTTTGCGTGTGCGTATTATACACCGCTCAGCGATTTCTTCTTTAAACCCGTGGCGAACGGTTGGCTTTTCTCTTTGTTCTATTGACGCTTTCTCACCGTTCTCTCACCCTTTATCCCTCTCGATTCATCACGAGACATACACATTGCACGCAACCGAGATGCAACGTAACCGCTGATGACAGCGTGCGAATACACGTGTTGTATGCATATGAAAAGCTGTGTACAGTTTGCATCGTTTGCTGGCGATTCAGAATCAAAACGTCGTCATTCGGTTATATACCTATTACGTTTCAATATTATTCTAACTTCAATATTATTCTAATTGGCTTCTTAATTTCATTCTTCAATGATTCCATGCTTCTCTGAA